AACTCTACCATGTTTAAGGTATGTATATGAGTTATCCACTTTGGGTGGAGGCGCAGTAGCCTTAATTGCCCATTCAGAGTTCTGGTGGAGGCGCAGTAGCCTTAATTGCCCATTCAGAGTTCTGGTGGAGGCGCAGTAGCCTTAATTACCCATCAGAGTGTGCACATGGTACGGACATAGTGTCCGAGAAAATTCAATTCAGATACCGACCCAGTGTCGGGAGATTACAGTTTACTTATATATACCTACAATCATAATATTGATATTATCATTAATGTTTACTTGAGTATGAGTTTCTGCGGAGTACAGTGGCTTTAGTGCTCACGCTCCCACTATATTATCTTTTGCAGGTGACAGGGTCGGACCGGAGGAGTGAGCGGAGCAGGTGGTCGATGATCCAGTATAAATATATAGCTTTTGTAGACTTATGATATGTATATTATTACCACGTTTTTACTCCCGCTGACATTTTCAGATTTCTAAACTCGCATGTTGGTTTTCAGTTTTTTATCCGAACTTTCTGGTCGGATTTATACAGTATTACATGCCAGTTTGATATAAGATAATCCGTTTTTATAAATAGTTTTTAATTAGTCAAGTTAACGGATTTTTAGAAAAGAAATGTTTTTCAGTAGCATCCCGAATCACGGTTTCGCAAGTTAATAAGTATTTTTCAGGTAAGATTTGGTGAAAATTGTACTCTGATTTTAATAAGCTAGCGGGGTGTTACAGGGGTGTTACAACCTAGGCTTATTTTTGTTATTCTTTAATTGCCAAGTGCTAGAGTGGCACCTTGTATCTGCAAGTCCGAAATGGATCTCATTTCAACAATGACATGCATTCCAACATCCCCAAATGGAGAACCCAATAATTCTTTGTTCGTCCTTCTTCTCCTCTACCCTTTTCTTCAACCTGGGTGAAGAAGTACACATCTACACTAATAGTACCCAATTAATGTACTAGTTTCGACCGCTGTATTGAGGAATGGAAAAAATCCAGTGTGTCTTCTTAAATAATCTTTGGTAATGAACCCCTCCGAGCTCATTGTAGGTTGTCTCCTTGATGTTCCACACACCTAACTCCTAACCAAATCGGTACTTAATATGTTTTCTTTGCTCTTTTGCCATTCATTATTTTATTCTAGTCTTTGAGTTTCCTCATTTTATTGTAGAAGGACTATTCAAACTAAATGGTCGTCACTCTATGTCTATCTCGAAAGTCCTAAAACCCGACTCTCCCCCCAAAAATACTAACGTCTAGCCCCCTCCAAGGATTAGAAACGCTCCAGAGAAAAAGAGCTTGTTATAGGGGTCGACCACAAAGTACGGCCCCACCCCAAACAGAGGTCTCATAAAAAAGAAAAACATGTGTGCACCACGGACGTCAAAGTGAACATGCATGAGGAGACTCTTTTCTCGATCACCCCAACCCAAAGGGGGTCATTGCTGAAGTTCCTCTTTCTCTAGTCGAGCAAACTCCCATCGCTCCCTTAACCACTCCACCTAAAGCCATTGCTTATTTTGCCCTGAATTCTGGTGATGCGGACATCACTTCACATCTGATGAATTGTGTTCCAACAGCTGAAACCCGCTGGTCAAGCAAAGACCAAGTGTTAGGTTCTGTGAGGAACGTCAAACAACATGCACAGTATTGAACTTTATTGCAATAAATCCTAACGCAGCGGAATCTATAGTTAGGATATGGACGTTTACCTTTTTACAATTTTTGACGACTCTGAGACGATGTAGAGTAC